GAGAAAAAAATTCACTGTACTGAAGATTCTAGACAGGGAAATTGAGTAAGAAAAAGAAGTAAAAGCCATCCAGATTAGAATGTTGGAATAAAAAAATAAATTTATTCATAATAAGTAATTCTAGTCATGGATAAAATAATATAATATATAGTATTCCTAAAATATCCACACACCAAAAGAGTTTTAGAAGTAATAAATATGTTCAGTAAGGTTATAAAATATAATATTAATATATACCACATGAATTGTACTGCTATATACTACCAATGGATTAGTTGAAATGAAATTAAGCAAATGATTCAACTTAAATAGTCTCACAAAGAATAAAATGATATAGGCATGTAGCTGAGGGGGATAGTGCTTGCCTAGCATGTGTAAGGTCATGGGCTCAATTCCCAACACCACAAAAATTAAAAAAGAATAAATCACTCAGGGATAAATTTAAAGAAGTACAATGATGCAGACCTATAATTCCAGTACTCTGGGAGGCTGAGTCAGGCAGGAAGACATTAAGCTTAAGCCCACTCTGGGCAACTTAGCAATTTAATAAGACCCTCCCCTCTCAAAATACAAAACAGAAAAAGGCCTGGGGATGTAGCTCAGTCCAAACGCCCTAGATCCAATTCTCAGTACAAAAAGAAAAAACAAACACCCCCCCTTAAAACATTTTTGATGAAATTAAATAAGACCTGATTGTATGTAAAGACAAACTGAATTTGTGGATTAGAATATTTAATATTGTTAAGGCAGCAATACTCCACAAATTGACTTACAGATTCCCAGCATTCTTTATCAAAAGTCCTGATATCTTTGCAGAAATTGATGAGTTTATCCCAAAATTCATGTGGACATTTAAAGTATCCAGAATAGCCAAAACAATCTTGAAAAGGTAAAAAAAGTTGGAGTCCTTGCATTTGTCTATTTTCAAACTTCCTGCAAAGTTGCAATAAGCAAGGCAGTGTTGTACTTGCATAAGAATAGACATATAGATCAATAAAATATAATTAAGAGTGTTGAACTAAACCCTCACATTTATGGTCAATGGATTTTTGAGGAATGTTTCATGATCATTCAATGAGAAATAACAGTTTCTCAAGAAATGGTACTGGCACAACAGGATATCTACATGCAAAAGAATGAGTTAAAACCTATCACATCATTGATAATTCAAAAGGAATCATAGAGCTAAGTGTAGGTCTAAAACTGTAGCATTCAGAAAAAAACATAAAAGTAAATATTCACAACCATAGGTTAGACAGTTTTCTTAGATGTGATGTCAAAGGAACAGGCAGACAAATAATCTGGATTTAATTAAAATTAAAAAGTTTTGTGGTTCAAAGGACACCATCAAAAACCTAAAAGACAACTCAGAATGGAAGCATATATAGGTGAATCTAGATTATATAAATTTCTCTTACAAGTGAACAATAGAAAGATAACCCAATCTTTTGTTCTGAATAGATAATTCACCAAAAAAGCTATAAAAATGGTCACTACACCAGTGAAAAGATACTCAAATCATTAGTGATTATGGGACTTCAAGTCAGACTACAGGAAGATACCTCATACTCACTAGGGTGGATAAAATAAAAAGACAAAGAAAAATAAGTTTTGAAAGAAATTGAAACCTTTGCATATTGTAGGTGTGAATGTAAATGTGAATCCACCTTGGAAAACAGTTTCCAAAATGTTAAGCACAGATTTATTCAACAGTTCTACTCCTAAGCATATATCCCAAAGAATTGAAAACATATGTTCAAACATCAACTTTTACACAAATGTTCATAGCATCATTATTCATAATAATCAAAGATAAAAATAACTCAAGTGTCCATGAATCAAGGAATGGATTTTTAAAATATGGTTTACCATCTAGTGGAATATTATTAGAGAGTAAAAGGAATGGAATAGGAACACACACTATAACACAAACGAACCTCTAAGACACTATGTGTAGTGAAAGAAGCTAGTCACAAAAAACACATCTTATAGGATTCCATTTATATGAAATGTCAACAATATTCAAGTCCACAGAGAGAGAAGACAGATTAGTGGGTGCCAGAAACTTCAGGGGAGGAAGTTGAAGTGGGGAATACAGTGTCTGGTAGTGTAAAAAAGATTTCTTTTTTGGATAATGATGATGTTTTAAAATTAGTGGCTATGGATGCATAACTGTGAGTATACTAAATACCAATGACTCGTATAATTTCATACAGTGAATCTTATAGTATATGGATTATATCCCAATAAAAACTGGTATTTTAAGGGCCAGGGATGTGGCTCAGCAGCACAGTTCCTGCCTGGCAAGTGTAAGGTCCTGAGTTCGATCTCCAGTACTGAGAAAAAAAAATTGGTATTTTAAAAAGTGCAACTGTCACCATTTAAGGACAAAATATTGCCTCTTCACGGTGAGGAAGTCCACTATAATCAACCTTTCTTCTGGAAATAGTACCACATTAGTGTTTCATCATAGGCCTCTGCTTTTGACAGATTCTAAACTTATCTGTGAGAGTCGTCAGATCAGTGTGATAAGAGGAAGTTAGTATTGTTGATCTCTTTCATAGCACTATTACCCCATCCACGGCCACTTTGTCTGTGGGCTCATTGAGTAAATACTGGGATAGCTGGATGGGGAGAGAGGCTAAATGGTATCTATAGAGGTGATCATCCCCCCTCCAATTATTGAAGGTTTCCTCCGCAGTGAATGCCCTCAGTGGGTACACCATCTCAGTAAACAGATATGAGCTGTTTGGAGGGGATTGTGGCTTGTAGCTTTTAGATCTCAAGACCATCCCAATGGGTAAAACTAAAACCTTGGTCAGGGCATCTGCTATGTGGGAGGTCTGTGCCTGTTTCTTTACTGCCATTAGATACACTGTGAGATCTGGTTTCCAGAACAATGTAGGAAGGATGAGCCCACTTTCTCTCATGCCACCTTTTCAGAGTATTTCAAGTAATACTTTCTCAGGTGTCTGGGAAAACTGATCAGCAGAGGGCTTCTTCCTTCCTGGACTCTAGATTCTAAATCTTTTCTTCTCTGAGATTTGATAGGCCAGTCTCTCCTTGAAAAAAGTAATTGAGATAAACTTTTAAAAATTAGAACACAAGGCTAGCTCAACTATTTTGTGAGCTGAGCACAAAAAGATAACTTTGAATTTTATTTCTGGTAAATTTTAGTAACATTTGACTGAAAAAATACAAGGCATTACATGGTGTTATGGCAAGGAATCCGTGTTACTAATATAGGTTAAGTATCCCTTATCAGAAATGCTTGAGATCACAAATGTTTCAGATTTCAGAGTTTTTTGGGTTTTTATTTGTTTGTTTGTTTTTGGAATGTTTGCATAGACTTTACCTGTTGAATGCCCCTAATCTCAAAAATCTAAATCCAAATTGTTCTAAACTCTGCAGTTGGGAGAAGGGCTTTATGTGTACTCCTTTCCTTTTGGAATCAAATAGGGGCTTTAGCCTGTGGGGACTGTAGGGAATCAGAAGGTCTGTGTGACCATGAGGATCCTATCATAGAAGTGACTGTCATGTCAGGGCGTATAATTACAAGGTGTAGTAAGACAGGCATGCCCAGCAGATACTAAAGTATCCAGAGAAGAGTGACACTGCTTTTCTGCTGCTTGGAGTTGTTCCTGGGCACAGGTAAGAACTACCTTTATTCCTCCTGAATGTTTGATAGGACCCAAAGTTCTGGTCTTGTGGAGTTAGCTCAATACAGCTCACATATTTAGTGTGGGACTGTGTGATTCAAAAGTTAATTACTCCCCTAGATTCTGTTGTAAATTTGATGGTTGGAGTGTGTTTGCCTCGGGACAATGGACAATCAGTAATAGGGCGAGGTTACTCAGCCATCTGTTTGCCCTAAATCCAAATGTCCCGGGGCCCAGTATCTATAGGACAATCTGTAAACAGGGTGGTCGTAACTGTCAGTCAGGATGTCTGCTGAACATCAGCATGTGACAATGAGCCACTAACCTTTGTTCTTTTTTTACTGTGAATCCACATGTTAACCCCCCCCCCCTTAACCCCCTATAAAACAACCTCGGACTCTGAGCCAGTGGCCTCTCTGAGCTATTTTGCTTCGGGAGTGCCGTCTGGCCAGACTAATAAAGGTCTGTTTCCCAACATGGCCGGTGTGTTCCTTCCCGGGTGTGCTCCACTCCAGCTCCTTGGAGCGTTTGGTAAGGCCTTTGGTCTTACATTCTGGAGGCACCGCTGGGATCCCCGGGTGTGCTCCACTTCAGCTCCTCGGAGCGTTTGGTAAGGCCCTCGGTCTTACATTTAGCATGTCATTGGATCCACTGGGCAGTCCTGTGAGGCAGCTATTTTCCCTATAACAGAAGACAAGACTGAATCTTACAGCAATGGATCTGTTTTAAGTCCCAAGTTGATTTCTCTAGCTGTGAGTCCCAGAGGTAATGTGAATTTTACTTAATTTTTATTCTTCCAACAGGGATTTTAAGTGTCTTCACTGCCCTCATAAGCTTATTCAATAGTTCAATTGCTTATCATATATTGTTTTCTTTTTAGTTTTTTAAAAATTATAATAAGGCAAATGTAATCTGTATCCATTAGGAAAAGGTGGAGATGAGTGAAAAACAACAGAAAAGAATCACACACAAAGGAGCCATAGCATGGCAGGGTACCTAGGAGAAGGGGCAGCATTATCTACTGGCCTGGTTATACCTGAGGAAGACCCTAGATGGCATGGACTTATATAACTAGCAGGTAGTCAGGCTCATTTTTAAGTGCAGATGAGATCTATTCTTGTTTTGGTTTTTTTGGTCCCAGGCATTGAACTCTGAACCTTGTACTTGTGAGGTATGCGGTGGCACCACTGAGCTAAATCCCAGGCCCAGGTGAGACCTATTCTTGACTGTGCAGGAGTAACCATTGCTTATTTTTTAGTGTACACACTTTCAGAGTCTTCTCTGTGCAAATGCATTATGCACACACATTTACATTTTTATAAAATGGGCTGATACAGAATATATGGTTCTGCAAACTTTTTATTGTTGTTTTACAATGTACATGCATATGGAAGAAAATCCAGTACTGTACTAAAAGGCAAAGCGCTGTAGTTGGGTCAAAAGGCTGCTGGTAAGGACAGTGATACCTAAAGCAAAGTATCAGCTTAAGGTTAAAGCACAGGACCCAGAAAGTATCTACTAGGGTAAGCAGGTCCAAGACTATGCTCATCAGCAAAGTAGGAATCAAAGACCAAAGGCATTAAAGGTATGGGATATTCTGCAAGCCTCTTTGGCCCCTACCTCCACCCCTCACTCCCCTGATACCTCTTGGGCCCCTTGGGGGATATGCATCTAGTAGCTCTCTTTGCATCCACTGAAAATTATTTATCCTCTGCTTTTTCTTTATCTGTTCCCGAGACCTTGACATATTGGCACACTCTCTCATCATCCCCTGCCTGCTCAAATGACTGTTCTGTAAATTCTCCTGAGAGTCCTTGGAGAAATCCTCAGTCCCCCTATCCGTTTTTCTTTTTGCTTTCCGGGGCACATAATTTTCCATGGGGCGCTTTTCAGCAGCCTGCAGCTTCCTGGCTGGCTGTGCCTGGGATTCTGGCCTGCCCTCATCCTGTGGCTTGCCCAACTTGCTTTGTGTTTCAGGCTTTCCCTCTTCTTCCCCTTGTCCTTCAACATCTGGCTCTCCTTCACTCTCTAGCTTCCCCTCACGTGCTGGCTTCCCCTCATGGTCAGGCTTTCTTTTCTCTTCTGCCTTTCTTTCATCTTCAGTCTGTATTTTGTCTTCTGCATTTCCCTCGTTTTCTTCATTTTCAGTGAAGAAATTTTTCAGGTCGGGATTTTCCATTGTGTTCCTGTCCTGGGGGTAGGGGTGAAGGGAAAAGGAGACATAGGACACTGAGGAGACAGGGTTGGAACCTAGGTCCAGATAGGACTGACATCTCCCTTCTGAGGATTCCCCTAAACTGGCCTGGCCTCCAGGTGTGCCTTCTGCCCTCCCACTCACACCACATTCCTCCTGTCACTGAGAGCCAACAATTCCCTGGTGGGCCCTGTCCCTCAGCATGGCAAGATGTGTGCACTGTCTGTTGTGGGGACGGGCATTCTGGGCCCCACATTCTGCCCCACCCAAGCCTGGGGGGTGAAAAAAGGCAGTTCCCTCTGGGTCCTTGTGCATGCTGTAGCCCTTCCACTGACCTTCGGGAATCCTGATCAAGTGGCTCCTTCTCTTCAGGCCTCACTGAGCAGAGCGCTGGCCACAACAGATGTGCACACCTGCAGACACACGACACGGGGACAATAGCTGCACACTCAATGGGCTCCCAGGGTCTCTTTCCTGAATCCGGGCCCTCCTCACAGCCATTTCCCTCCATCACCCCCTACTTCCGGACCCAGATGCCATTTCTTTTCAGGCCTTGGACACCTAAACAGGATGGCTTCCAAACTACATTTGGGTTTGCATGTTCTCTCCTGGAAGCAATCTGACCCTCCCTTAGCTTCCTTTCAGCCCAGGTCAATTTGTCTTCATAGGCATTCTGTATGAAAGGGGAGTGATTTCCTGAATATATCTCCATTTCACTGTTGCACTGCGGGATGCCCCCCCCCCCATTGATGGCGCAAAAAGGGATGGATGGATGGGGGAAGGAAAGGGGAGGGTCGAGAAGGCTGCTGCGACTGTGGGGGGTGGGGCTCTCCCTCCCTTTCCCTCTCTCACCTCCACCCCACTGCCCCTGTCAGCTTTATTCTCCTTCCTCACCAGTCTCGCTGATTCCGTCTCCCCCCGCCCTTCCGCTTTGCTGCCACCCACCTCTACCTCTACCCGGGGTCCGCAGGCAGCGCTCGCCTTCTTACCGACTTGGGAGGACTCACGACAGGCCTGTGCCTCCTTGGGCTGGCAGAAGCCTGCTCACCGCTCGCCAGCCACTGTGGGCAGCTCAGGCGCTGGATCCACGGAGCGCAGAAACCCAGCCGCAGAGTGGGAGCTGGGGTAGGTGCCCAAGTCAGTGCCTGGTCAGTCACGTGAGCGCCACGTCACCAGAGCTCGCCTCCCCCAAACTCCCATCTCCAGGGGACCTAGAAGATGTAGACAGAAGGAGGGGTGTGGGTGCAGGCAAAGGGGAAGGTCACCCAGAAGAAGAGGGGAAGCTTTTAGACCCAGGTGCTTTACCTTGGGCATCTTTTAGCATCCTCGCACGGTATTCCCCTCACACACCCAGATGTGGCAGCTTTTCAGAAGGGGTAACAGACTTCGCCAAGAGTGCTCAGCTCTAAACACCAACAGTCGGATTGCAAAACCTTCTGCCTGACTCTAGATCCTTGTGGTGGTGGTGCCTCTAGGAAGCTAAGCTGCCACTCTGAATAGCAGCATTCCCTGGGATTCTGTCCTGACTCCTCAGTTCACATGTTTTCTCTGCCGGGATGATCTCATTTGTCACACTGGTGACCCCCAAATCTGTATCTCCAAGTTATTCCCTTCCCAAATTTCAGACCAATTTTTTCTCACCGGTATAATGGAATATTTCCTGAAACTTTTCAATCAACATATGACAGAGATTTAAATTTTCACTAATGTGACTATAGATGAATTAGTGGCATTTCATTTTGCCTTTCTGCTTAATTATATGTGAACAGTCTGCTTGTCTTTTCCACATTTTTTTACTAGGTTGTTGGTCCATCTCTCATCATTTTTCAAGCATTCTTTATACATTAAATTTAGTAGGCCTTTATCTATTGTATATCTTGCAAATATTTTCTTCCAGCTTGTCCACTGCTTTTTGGCTTTGCTTATGGCATTTTTCTGCTATCCATTAAAAATGTAGTCAAATTTATCAAACTTTCATTGCTTCTACATTTTGATTCATATTTAAGAACTCTTTTCTATATGCGGGCTTTCAAGACAGGCAGCATAACCACTGAGCTAAATCCCCAGCCCTGGTTTTATTTCTTTACATTTAAAGTTTGTACTCGGGTATGGTATGTGGTATGGATCTTACCTCCACAATCCAAGTTTTCTTTTTCAAGTGGGTTGCTCAATTGTTCCAGCATCATTTATTAAAAAGTCCATCTTTGCCTCAGTGATTTGAGATGCCACCTTTATTGCACATTAAATTTCTATACACACTTGGGAAACTTTCTGGGCTTTTCATTCTATTCCATTGGTGTGTTTGCTGTTCATAAACCAGCTTGAATTATAGGGGATTATAATTCATATAGGTAGAGTTAGTCCTCCTAGTAGTTTTTCTTTTACAGTTTTTTCCTATACATTCTTGCATGTTCATTTTTCCACCTAAACTTCAGTATCAACTAGATTCAATTCCATTTTGAATAACTATTAGACATATCCACTCAGATATCCATCTCTGAAACACTTCAAATTTAGTGTGTCCACAAGTGATTTCACCATACTTTCTTTCCCCTCTATTTTGTCCCTTATCTTAATTGGTGGCCTCCAGAAATCACATAGATGCCTAAGCCAAAAAAAGAAAAATCTAGGAATCATTCTTGATTCTCTGTTTCTCTTTGTCACCAAGTAGAGTTATTATCACTTAGTGACATAAACACACTCTAAGGATCGCATTGTTATGCAATTTTGTCATTGTGCAAACATCATAGAGGATACTTACACAAACTAGGATAACTAAAGCATCACTAAGGGACCACTATTTTATATACAGTGCACAATTGACTAAAATGCCATTGTATGGTATATAACTGCTCATATGGCTCTTTCTAGTTCTCCCTGATTTCTACTCTTGCTACCTTCTTTGGGGCACTCACTTTCCCTCTCCTGGTCTGTGGTAGCAAGTCCCTTTCTGGTTTTGCTATTTCAACTCTTGCTTTCCTCTATTATATTTATTTTTCCAAAATATTATATATTATTCTATATCCATGACTATTCCTATTTGCATCTTCATTGTAGCTCTTGAAATAAGTATGTCACTAACAAATTATCTCTCAAACAGAAACCGCTCCACAATTTAGGTTAAAAAGAGTCATATTCTGTATATGGTAGTGCAGGCCTATAATCCTAGCTACTCAGAAGACTGAGACAAGAGGACCACAAGTTTGAGTCCTGCCTGGGCAACTTAGTGATACTTTGTCTCAAAATAAAAATTAAAAAGGACTAGTGATATACCTTAGTTATAGTGTGCCACTAAGTAAAATCCCCAGTATTGAGGAAAAAAAGCCTTGGTCCTTAGCCTGATTACTTTAAAATCAACTTTTAGCAATTATTGAAGATCTAAGGTAAAATTTGAATTTTGAGACAAAATTAAAAGAAATGGGCCCTTTCAATGTTTAAAGAGTTAGGAGGTCAGATTCCTAGATGAGATGATTCAAACTTACAAAGCTAATGAGTTGTATCTATGTCTCTTAATAGATGGGAGCTTCTAATAATAAGTAAACAGTGTGTCATTGCTCCATAAATAGGAATCTAGTGAAGAATAAGAATGCTTTTGTATACTTACAGGTTTTAATGGGCTTTTGATATATGAATAAAGTAGTATTTCAACCTAGTGCCAAAAAGCTGGCCTACTTCATGCACTGACTTTTTTGCTTTAACTAAATTCATGTAAATTCAATAGCCCAAGTCTCTAAACCCAAGGAGAGATAATTCATCTTTATCATCTTCATTGAGAGGTGTTATTGAGTTACTTTACGTGCATGACATCACATAGTCACTATATAATATACACTTTAATAATGAATCTCATTATTTACCATGCAGATTAAGAGCTAAAACACCAGCTTTGTCATTTATTGGTTGTATGAGCTTGGGGAAAGCTACTAAAACTCCATGAGCCATAGTTTCAATAACATTACCCATATCAGAAGATTATCATGAATTCTAAATAAAAGTAAGGTGTTTAGCATATGAAATCTTTTACAGATGTTAATTATTTCCAACCTTATTTTAAACTTCTGTTAAAGATATAATTTTGCAATAAAAATTTGCATTGCTATCACAGACATCATTTGGAAATGTAGTAAGAGGAAATATGATGCTATACTATATATGAGATTCATTGACATCAAATTAATGGATGATGGGATAGCAGAAAAATGCACTGCACTATCATTGGCTCTTTTATTCTGTTTTTTTTTTTTGGTACTGGGGATCGAACTCTGGTCTTTGCACTTGTGCAGCAGGCAGCGAAACCACTGAGCTAAATCCATGGCCCTTTTTATCTCTTTTTGTTAAATCATTGGCTCTTATATTGCCTTCTAGATGAACATCTAGGAAGCACAGGTATATGAGAAACAGAAACACAAGGAATTGTAGATGCCACGTCTGTCTGGAGAGATCACTGAGGTCAGGGGACCTGAGTTCTAGGGACAGAACCATCACTATTGATTGTGTGTCCTTAGGTAAGTCACGTCCAATGTGCTGCCTCTACCTCTGAAGCACACTGAAGAAATGGTAGATATTTACATCTTGGCACTCAATAAAAGATAGTTGTAATGATTTCTTATACATCCACTAGAGTATGTCAGGTTGGGAGAGACACAAAAGCCAACCACAAGAAAAACTATACTTGTCCTCTAGAGATTTTTGGGAACCTCACAATTACTGAGTGCCTGCCATCTGCTGCACATGGGGACAGCTGCTTTATGTAGGTTCTTGGGGAAATCTAGTGCTCACTGGTCTTTGAGGTAAGGATTCTTTGCTCCATTGAATAAATGAAGAACCTAAGGCTCAGAGTTCACAAGCTGTTTAAGAGCCCCCACCCTCTATTCTGGGGATGAAACCCAAGACCTGATGTGTGTGATGCAAGTACTCTACCACTAAGCTACACCCTCAAGTCAGTTTAAGGATTTAAAGTTATACACACTGGTTAGTGCCAAGCCTGGGAGCCAATCCAGGTCCTAGAATTGAGGCATATTTCTATATCTCTATGTTATCTCCCATTTCCACTTCTTCCTCTTTGTTCATAGATTAGTCAGTAGCTATTTCTTTGGGCCCTACAGATGCCTAACACGTCTGTGTTATCTAAATAAAAAGGGCTAGGTCTCAAGGGGAAGGCACTAACTTGGTGGAAAATATGCTTCTCTGTAGGCAGAAAACCCTTTCACTTGAGGCCATCTGGAAAAAGGGCAAAGGGAAAGGTAGACTATTGGACCAACAGGAGGTCAGAGAAGACAATGATCAGACTCAAAAGAAAAATTTTCAAGAAGCAAAAAGACTTACACTAAGGCTCAGAAAATGGGCCGGATGTAGGAGGGAGGAAAATAATAAAATGATCACAGTTCCTGGCTTTACATTAATTATTTTCATTTGTCTTTACTAAATGGTCAGGTAGCTTGAATTTGAAATCAGAATCTCACCAGGTTTCTCCCTCTTCCACAACAAGCAAGCTTCTCTTCTGGCTTCAGCGTATCTCCTAAATTTGTCACTACCTTAGAATCTCATCATCTGTTGTCTGAACTCTTAGAATAGCCCCTTCTCTAGTTTTCCTGCTTCTTGCTCTGCTCTCTACCTTTACAGTAACCCTTACATATTACTATCAAAATTTCACTCTTCCTTGGTTTTAAACTGTCATTTTCCTGCTTGGCAACCCTGGATAACAAGTCCAGCACTCATAGCATAAATCCTACATGCTCTATCCTGAAATTAAGCATCCATAAGAATTGAGAGGACACATAATACACAACTAGTCATGCACACTTCTCTGCTCCCCCACACAGTGTTTACACTCTTCATCATGTAGCCCTTAACAAAGGCTGCCTTCTATCTTTCCCTTTGTGTGTGTGTGTGTGTGTGTGTATGTTTCCAAGCATGCACATAAAAAGTGTTAGCTCATCAGGAAAGTGGTCAGATGTGGCAGATGAGAAGGGATCTTTTCTGTTTCAATGGTTCCTATGTTGATATATAGTGATTTACTCAGAAGTCTGTTTCAGAAGAAGCTGTTTTCTATTTGGCTCACAGCTGAATCTGCATTCTGTATGCAGATTAGAGCAAAATTTTATTAATTTATCTTCTGTTTAATGGGCTTTTGTTATAAAAGAAATGAATCACATTGTGAAAGAAGGGTGATCC